ATCAGCGTTAATCCTTGGGGATACTTTGAAGGTAAAGGTGTCGGTAGCGGTGCACCACCACAAGCCAAGAACTTTCTCCGTCCCCATCTCGCTGGTCAGATTCAAGCTTTTCTCGCCTGGCTTGGCTTCCAACTCCCGCAGCACTCGGTTTGAGTTCGACAGCCAGTTGCGAATTTCGAACCCCGCCTCTGCGTGGACAACCCGGACATCTTTCGCCAACTTTATCGCCTCTTCTTCCGACTCGACGCTAGAGAGCATATCGTCGACGTAATGTTCCTTGACTATTGCCTCAGCTGCCCTCGGAAACTGCTCCTGGAAACGTTGCGCATTGTGGTTCTTGACATACTGCGCACAGCTAGGTGAACACGTTGCTCCAAATGTCATGACCTTCATCACATAAACATCTGGACTACGGCCTGTGTCGCCGTTCCGCCACAGGAACCTAAGGCACTGTTGGTCGATCCAGTTCATTAGCACCTGCAGGAACATTTCCCGAATATCTCCCGTAATGGCAATCCGGAATTCCCGGAAACGGTACAGCACGGACAAAAGAGAAGTCAGTAGATCCGGTCCAGTGAGCAGGAACGAATTCAGTGAGACTCCCGCTACCTTCGCAGCCGCATCCCAAACTATGCGCATCTTCCCTGGTTTATTCGGATTAACCACCGGGAAAATTGGCAGATACCATACGCGTGGGAATTTCTCGGCCAGTTGGCTCTCTGTCAGCTTCTCGATGTATCCGGATCGCTCATAGTCCCGAATTTTTTCCTTCAGCGCTTCGGCCAGTTCAGGGTCCCGCTGCATTCGCTTTTCCAAGCAAATCAGTCGTCTCATAGCCATCGACTTGCTGTCTGGCAGCCGAACATCATCGTTCCGCCAAAGCAATCCCGTCTCGTACCGCTTACCTTTAACGTGAGTGAGCAACATCAATAGCTGCTCCGCTCGCTCGTCATCCTTTGATAGAAGTGGCCTGATAGGGCGCACAGCTCCTATGTTGTCCAGCGAGAAGTACTCTTTCACCGTTTTATGCAGCTCCGCATCGTTACGCTCACAACACGGGCACACGTTGAAACTGTGATATGCTGTGAAGCCTGACACCGATTGGGTTGTTACAGCGCAGGGTCCAAATACTATCCAGCCCAAGCGTGTTCTGGTAGCAATCGGCTCGTTCTTCTTCCCCTCTTTGCTGTCTAACGCGTGTCCCAAACGACAGTTGTCCATTCCGATCAGCATCCTCGGTGCGACTTCGCGATATGAGTCAGCCGGCACGTCCTTCAAATGATGATAGCGACACGCCAATTTTTCCATCGCAAGAGCTTGCCGTGGTAAAGCGAGACTTTCAACGGTATGTACCTTGGGAATCCAGTGCATCTTTGTATCGTGTATTCCTGATATCTCCAATGCCAGTTTAACGGAGTTCATTTCCTGACGTTGCTGGTCGGCTGTCCATCCAAGACACAATGGATACGGTTCACCCTCAAGACCTAGTTCACTCAGCAAACTATGTTCCATCAATGTTGCCGACGAGCCATCATCTAGAAAGGCAAATGTACGAACAGATTTTCCACGCCCATGAAGGAGGACTGGAACGTATCGAAACAATACCTTACCGACGTTGCTTACGTGCGTGTTGCAGGTTTCAACTGGTGCCTCAACATGAGGAGTCGATCCTCCAGAAGTTTCTCTTTGCTGATATCTGGAATCGTCGTGTAACAGCTCATGATGCATGTATGAACAACCATTTTTTCCGCAAGCTTGCTTTACCGCACACGCTCCGAAATGCTTCGCCAGACACTTCCGGCACAACTTGTTCTGCTTCAGCGCTGCCCATCGCGCTCCGATGTCAAGTTCTTGAAACTTCTTACACGATCCCACACTGCTACATCCTCCGTGACAAATGACACACTGCTTGATCGCTGGCTTCGGCGTTTCCCTAGGAGGATTCGCTGACGCTAGACTATACCTTGACTCGACATGTACGTGTACTTCCTCCTTTCGAACACGCTTCTCAGGTTTGCCAACGTAGGTGCAGAATGATGACGGAACCGTTACTGCGCATGCAGCTTCCACGAGAGTTCCTAACCATTCACTGAAGTCCGATAGCGTAACCGCGTTCAGTGCTTGACGGTCAAGCTTGACAGTTGGCGGCAGTCTCTCGACAAGTTCTTGAAGAAGTGCCACGTTGCATAGATGCTCGTTCAACCCACAGGCTACGATCGTAGCGCACATATTCTGGACTGCGACACCGAAATCGATCAGAGTTCCAAGCTTCTCCGTCTTTGGTGCTGGCATTTCCCGAATCTTGCATACTAGCGAGTTGACGATCACTTCCGGCCGACCATACAACGTACGTAGAGTGTTGATGACGCCGTCGAGCCCTGCTGGATATAACAAACGACTTTGTACTGCATCAAGAGCCTTCCCCCTCAAACTGCGTTGGAGTCGAAGTAGATTTTCCTCCTCACTGAAACCGCACATTCTGGTGGTACTCTCATAAGTGGCGATAAATAAAGGCCACTCTTCAGGATTACCCGAGAAAGTGGGCAATTCCTTCGCCACTGCATGCCTTGCGGCAAGTTGACTTCTGCTGAGTTCATGAGAGTCGTTCAATCCGTCATTCCTTGTTGGGACAGGTTCTCTGACGCTATTTTCCATCACCCTCAATCGATCCTCAATACGCTTTGTTTCGAGATTTTGCTTTCTCGCCATCTCTTCGAGCTGCTTTTCCATCCGCTCGAATGCCTTACACACGTCACCAGCTGCTATGTTTTCTCCTTCTAGCGCTGTTGAATTCGCATTCGGTGGAGGAGCAACGGTTAGAATATTCAACTCTTCTCGAATCTGCTGCTCCCTTTTCTCCATACGAAGCTGGAATTGGTACTGCAAATCGTTAACCGCATTCTGCATCTCGCGATCTTTCTCAAGAAGCAACTTCTCGTACGCCTGCTGCTGTTCATCGAACCTAATCTGCATCTGATTCATTCGTTTCTGGAACTCCTTGAGTAGCTCATTTTCCTTTTGGTTGCTATGCGACGTTTGATTCTCTCCAGCTGGTACAGGTTCCGTGATGATGATCGATGGGTTCTGAGCTGCTCTTTCAGCTTTGCATGCTGAACAACTCCAATCCTTCTCCTCGATTCCTTCATCAACATCCACGCACTTAAAGTGGTACCACAGACCACAGTCGTCACAGCACACCATCCGGCTATTGTCAGGATCCTTGCACACAACACAACTCACACCCGGCCTGGGGCCTTTTGTTCGATGCACTCTCGGCATAGTTCAAACAGCCTCCCCGATCGCGATTAAACGGATTTTTTAATAATGTTGCGAGATTGACGAAAAGAGACAGTTTCCGGTTTTGTGAACGTTATATTTCAATAACAGTAACGTTAAAAAATCCGTTTAGTGTTCTTCAGTAGTTAATTCTGTCCGTATTCGCAACATCCGTACTGTTCATCAATTATGTGTAATAGCTGTTTTTGTGTACAATTTGTGAAACTTTAAATAGAATATGTAATTTGCCACTAGCGTAGATAGTATTAAGCTTTGCACTGTCACTCGCACATTGAATGTTTTACCTTTTGTCCCGATATCTCTACAGGCCGCATGCTGACGTTTTAGACGCAGCGGCTCACCGAAAGTGGGGTAATGACATGGCAGCCCAAAGTTGTTGGACCCAAGGTGCGATGCAAACGAAGGTTGCGACACTCGTCTTGCTGGTACATCTTTGAAGATATTCTGGATACCACGTAAATATTTGACAACATCCCAACTGATACTGCAAACACTATCCTTGAATGCATTATGCAAAATATACAGCCCACAGCTTCCCAGATCTATCAGCTTCTCGCCACCTTTTTGTACCTCTAGCTTCAATTCACATTAGGCCCATCCATGGACACTTGCAGCAACTTGTTCGAAGAGATACCGGTCCATAAACGCAGCGAGTAGATCTGATGCCCGGGATCTTCCCAAAAACGTTGACGTCATGCACTGATAAAATTTCAAAGATTGTTTTATGTGTCCCACACATGATTCTTTGCAATGTGATCAACATTATTATTTTCCCTGACCTACACTAAAATTCCCTGACATTCCCTGACTTTCTATCGTAAATAGAATTCCCTGACATTCCCTGACTTTCCAGGTTTTTCCAGGTAGTCGACACCCTGAAATACACGGCCATTGAGAATAACACAGATAGAGAGAGAGATAGACACTTCTACTCAGTTGGATGATACATTTCTAAAAACTGCAGTTACTCAACGCTCAGTTCCTGCAGTTTTAGAAATTTCTGAGTAGAAGTGACTCTTTCTCTGAGCTATTCTCATTGGCCGTGTACCACGACAAAATCTATCATTACAATCATTACAGGTGTGGATGCAACTTTTCCCGAAAACGCAAATCAGCTGTTCACAGTTTACCAAAACAGCTGACGAATCCATGGTCCAACTCCAGATCACAAATACCAAAATGTTCAGCCCAACAGTATCTTCACATCCACACAAGCCATTAATCGATAATGCTCGACTAACAATTGAAAAGGGCCTATCAGCTTTTGCAAACGAAGCTTGTAATGCTCTTTTCTTATGAGTGGAAGCTCGCCTACGCAATCCTACATCACTTTAGTGAAGGGGAGAGTTTCCCCTACCCGATGGTGTTGTTGGTTTGTATAGGCGAGTTTCGGCTCACGCAAAAATGATATTACAAGCCGATAGACGCTTTACGATTGTTGGTCAAGCATTCTGTTCCCCACTGCCGCTATACAAGCTTGCTCACTTGAAACAAGCGAAACAAGCGAAACGAGCCCGTCGCCTGTGGTAGTTTCCTTATCAATTAACGGGCAATTCTCGCTCTCCGAGCAATTTAGTACCAACAGAAAGCATTCAAGAGAGTGAGCAAGTGGTAGTAAAATGACCCAAACATCATTGCATATCTTTTGGACAGTTAATCCATTCCGACTCGTCAGTCTCTCCTCAGTGATAGTAAGAAAATTTCGCACACGGCATTGTGGCAATGAATCCGGAGCAGTTTAATTTAAATCGAAATGATTTGGGAACTATCGTCAAACGGCACTTTGGCAATCCGAAGCTGCAGTTTAAAATCGAATCGCCGGAAGTGGCCCCCTTCAGTGCTAGTCGCGTTGGATATCTCGGGGACCATTTCTTCCTCAAACTGAAAGTGATACTGGACGAAGGAAAGCGAGAAGAGGACCTGAAGCTGTTCTTGAAAATCCTCCCGACAGCCATTCCGACGCTAACCACCTATCTAGAAGGCATCGGTACATTCCGAAAAGAAGTTCGTCTCTACAGCGACCTATTTCCATTGATGGGTCAATTCACACGATTCGCACCGAAGGCTTATCTGGCGAAAGACGACCGGTTATTGGTCTTTGAGAATTTGGCACTGGAAGATTTTCGAACCATCGGCGGCGCTGACATGGGAATATTCGATAAGGCACACTTGGAGCAAGCGCTGAAAGCGTTGGCCAGATTTCATTGCGCTTCGTTGATGCTGGAAACGAAAACCGGACGCTCATTGGTCGAGCTTAGCCCAGGAGCGTTAGATGAAAACTGCTGGATTTTGAAGGATGCAAATCCGCGGGTGGAGGAGTTGGAAAATGCAATCCAAGTTTTGTGTGAGCTTGTGAAAGTGGTGGAAAAGGATAACGAAAAGTTGACTGCAATTCTGGAAAAAATGCCGAAATTTATGCTACAAATCTACGACCTGGTGAAGCCATCGGATAGATATCGAAACGTTGCCTGCCACGGTGACCTGTGGGGTAGTAATCTGATGTTCAAATACTCGGAGGCAGGTCTTCCCGTGGATTGTTTGATTGTTGATTTCCAGTTTGCTCGCTACGCACCTCCGGCGTACGATGTGAACATGCTGATTACTCTGACGACCACTGGAGATTTTCGGAAAGCGCACTACCAAGAGCTAATTGACCTGTACTATAGTGCAGTTCGACAAGAGTTCATTGCCCAGTGCCTTTCTCCCGAGGAGATTTTCCCTGAGCGACTGTTCCGGGAGTCATGCGCGAGGTACAAGGTATCCGGAATGATCGACAACTTTCTAATGAATCATGTTACGCTACTGCCGAGAAACTGTGTGGATATGATTTTTTCATCGCCGGAAGAGTACAACAACTTTAGCGGAGATGACAAGATACGGATGTGTTTGGGAGTTTTGAACAATGATGCCAAGTACAGGGCAAGGATATCCGGGATCATCCGAGACCTTATTGAAATGCTTTGAAAATTGAGATTTAGTGCCGTACATTCCACGCGTGAAGACATTCCATTTAAAAGTTTAAGATTATTTGTAATGTTAAGGAGAATAAAGTTGCTTTTTTGATATTTTTCACAAAGACAATGTTCCCGAAAAAACTAGAAACATAAGTTATTGAGCCTCCGTGGAGAAGTGTCCTGGACACAAACCCTGTTCCTACCGAAATTTGCATCTCCCCTGAACATTGTTGGTATTCTGAGAACTTCCATTTGCATATTGTGTGACAAACTCGAATCGAACTCAACTAGATTGACCGGTCCAAGCATGGTTAGCAATTACACTAAACTATCCTAGACGAGCTTCTCCGATTTGCGTGAAACTTTGCATCATTGTTTGTTATGGCCTATCATTCACATTTGAGGCTAACATTCGGCCATTTTGTGTCCTCAAAATGGCAGATGAGCAGTTCCACTCCAAATAACGAATCGGAAAAATTCGACCTTCTCGGATTTTCATGAAACTTTGCATAATTGTGTGTTATGGGCAAGCATTAACATTTTTACAAAAAATTGGCTAGTTTGGATGTCTTAATTTTTTTCAAAATGGCGTCTTTGTCACTTTTCATTAAAGTCGAAGAAGGCCGAGTAAAATGTGTTATTTATTTTTTCCTATTTAAACGGAATCATGGCTTACTGATCAAAATGGCGTTTGGGATAAAGTTGTAGAATTAATGCTTTCGAGGAAAAAGAAACAGAGAAAAATTTCAAGGGCATTCAGGATAATTTCATAAAGCTAAAAAGAGGATTACAATCAAATCGGAGAATTACTGCGGGAGATCTTTAAATAAATCCTGAAAAGAATTCCAGGAGAATTTGAAAATCAAATTATAAGGAGGAATTTACGAAATTTATGGGGAGAAATGCAAATTAATTCATATGAGACTTTCAATGTGAGTAGAAATCCAAGGGAAGGAGTGAGATTCAAAGGGAAATCTGAAATGTATTCAATGACAATTCTGCAAATCTTTCCAAAGGGCTTCTTACTGAGGAGAATTTCAAGGTAATTCCGAGGAAAACACAAAGAAAATTTAATTCGGAGGATAGTTCCAACGAAATTTGAGGAATATTTCATTGGATATTTTTTATAGAATTTCTAATATAATTCCATGAGGATTCCGGGGGAATACAATGCGAATGCTGAGAAGAACTCCAATGAAAAATCTCCGTTGAATATGAAATGGACTATTCTGAGGTTTGCAGAACTAATTGAGAGGTCCCAAAATATTCCTGAAGGTAATGGACTTGCCTTGAAGTTATTTTGTAGATTGAGAAACTAGCATGATGCTCACATTACGTATCCTCAATTTTCTTAACGATCTTGGATCTTCTCTAAAGTTTTAACAATTCGTTGAAGCTATCGAAATTTCCTTACAATTTATGTAATTTATCTTAAGTTAACGATACTGCACTAAAGTTCTTTTCTGCAGTTCTCGAAACTTCTGTAATGTTTTTGTAGCTCGCATGAAGCTAGTTGTACTGCCCTGAATTTAACTGGACTGCCATAAACATGTTTAAGCTTCCGTCATATGTACTTGAGTAATAATTTCAATAAATCAATAATTTTCTTATCACTGTGGCACTGCGGTGTTTAGGAAAGACGCCACTGCGGTGTTTCTGAAAGACTTCATATCAATTTAATCCATCAGCAAATCATGCAAATCATCTGGAGACAAATTTACTATCGAGCAGTTCCACGCCAAATGACGAATCGAACTGATGCGACCGTCTTCGATTTGCATGAAATTTTGCATAATTGTTTGTTATGGTCAATCATTCACGGTTTTGCTAAAATTCAGTCATTTTGAATCTCGCAAAAAAAAAAAAAAACATCAAAATGGCGCTCTCAGGATTTTTTAACAAATCATAACTCGAAAACGTCACTCCCAATCGAAATGACGTCTGAGACAAAGTTGCAGGAAAAAAGCATTCTTTTTTTTTTAATATTCAAGTTAAAAAAATCAAGCAATTTTGGGAAAAAAAAATCCAAAAAAGTGCTGAAAACTTAATTAACACAAAAATACCCCTTTACATATATTTTGAATACATTTCCTTTAATTAAAAAAAATACGTGAACTTTTCTAGTTGGACACTTAAAAACAAAAATCCTTAAACAAAGACTTAAGGACAATTTTTTTTTGCAATTTAGCACCATTTTTTAGACCTTTAAAATTTTTTTAATAAGCACAAAAAAAAATGTCCAAAAACTGCTGCTTAAGGATTTATGATAATTTTTAAGAGTCAAATAATGTAACATTTTTCATAAGCTTTTTAATGAAAAATAATGAAGAGGGTAAGTTTTTCGTTATTTAAGTTTGAATCACTTTTTTTAACCCCAAATTACTTCTATAGAATATTTTTTTGATTTTTCGATTTCGATTGGAAGTGACGTTTTCGAGTTTGATTTGTTGAAATATCTCGAATACGCGATTTTGAAGTTTTACACGAGATTCAAAATGGCCGAATTTTACCAAAAACGTGAACGATTGACCATAGCAAATAACCATGCAAACTTTTATGAAAATCGGAGAAGATATACACCCCTATTCTGTATTTCGTTTCGAACGAAATTCTCATACAAAAAATTATTTTTTTGTATGAGAATTTCGTTCGAAACGAAATACAGAATAGGGGTGATAGTCTGAAATTCAAATTTTGTTTTTCTATTTGACCTGGAAATGCTCTAATCACCATAAACTACTAATATCACCGACCTAGAGTGAGTTTCACTAGACGTTCATCTCACGCAAATGCCTTTATGTCGCTTCAGTTATCGCTCACGGTCCAACGAGATACCATTCGCCAAAATGCCCGTCCAGCTGGATATAACCCCCGCCGATAAGGAACACATACTGCAAAATTTCTTCCGCAATACTTCGGTACAGTTCAAAATTATCTCCACGCACACGTCCAAATTCGGCGAACAGCGAGCGGGCTATTTGGGCGATCATTTTCTGCTCACATTCAACGTTATAGTGACGTCATCCGAAAGCGACGACCCAACCGTCCAGGAGATCAAACTATTCGTCAAGGCACTGCCGCAGGCGATTCCATCGCTGGCCACTTACTTGCAGGAGACGAACGCCTTTTCCAAGGAAGCGCAACTGTTCCGAGAATTGATTCCCCGGTTGCAGGCTCTGGGTCGCTTCGGGCCGGAGGCACTGTTTGCGCAGAGTGATGAATTGATAGTTTTCCGTAATTTGAAACTGGAAGGTTTTCGAACGCTACAGCACAATGATGGATTGCTGGATTTGATTCACTTGGAACAAACCCTTCGGGTGCTGGCTCGAATGCATGCGACTTCTTTTGCGCTGGAAGCACAAAGCGGCCAAACGCTGAGCGACTTGTTTCCAGGCCGTTTGGATGAAAATTCTTGGATTCTGAAGGAAAATTACCCACGGGTCAAGGAGCTGGAGAACATCATCGGTGCGCTCTGTGCGTTGGTGAAACATTACGAGAAGAATGGTAAAAGGAGGGATAAATTGGTGGGATGTCTACCGGAGTGCGTTCGTCAGATCTACGAACTGGTGAAGTCATCCGAAGTGTACAGGAACGTATTTAGTCATGCTGATTTGTGGAACAATAATGTTATGTTCCGTTACTCGGAGCATGGCAGTCCGGTGGATTGTTTGTTGGTGGATTTCCAACTAGCTCGGTACGTTCCTCCGGCGTACGATTTCAATATGTTGCTAAGCCTTACAACGACGAGCAGCTTTCGAAGGAAGCATTTGAGCTTTCTACAAGGATATTACTATCAATCATTGAGGAAGGAACTTACTCGACATGAGATAACGGTTGAAGAGATCCTAACTCAGGATGAATTCCAGGATGCATGTCAACTGTACCGGAAGGCCGGAGCGATCGATAGCTTCATCATCAATCACGTCACGCTGCTACCGAGGGATATTTTGGACGAAGTGTTCTCTTCGCCTGAGCAATACGAACGCTTCACGGGAGAATCTAAGATCACGGAATGCTTGAAAGCTTTCGATGGCAATCTGAGCTATCGCACTCGAATGGTTGATATAATTGAAAATGTCGTAGAAACATTCGAGTTACAGTAAACCGATCTGCTTTAAGAAATTCTTTTCGTTCTATCAAGTAGCCGTTCAAAATTGTTCTTTAACAGCTACATTTTATTATATACGAATAAACATATAAGAAAATGAAAATCTATTTAGGTACTTACAATTATGACACTCCAATCCAATCCAATTAAAACTCAATGTCCACCGAACCTTCCGCCAACTGTCTCAGCTTGGTATCTCGATCGAGTTTGTCGCTAGTACTGACGGTCTTCAGGTGTGCTTTTTCGACCGATTCCAACACCGCTTTGCGGGCACTTATCTTTGCCTTAACTTTCGAGCTTTCGTCCGTTTCGTCATCGGATTCATCACTGGCATCGTTGGATGTTCTAGGCGCCGCACTCGTCTGCTCGCTTACGGATGACCCACGGTCACGTTTTCTCTCCGCCACTATCAGCATCGATCGGAGGAAATCCTTGCACAGCAGACTGATCGGGGCCATCGTGTGGGCGGAGGATGCGACGATCTGTAACGGATTAAGAGAGAAAAAAAGGGATGAATACATATATCAATTCTCTGTGGGTGACAGGTACAATTGCAGATAAAATGTGCAGTGGTATCCTGCTGACTCGTATAGGATGTGCACATTTGTTGCAGTTTGTATTGACGTCTGAACCTTATTAATAATATTTAACCGTCTGAAACATTAATAATTCAATCCCCTCTCCTAGAGACCTTTTGTCCTCCCGGGAAGAAGAACGAATTCAACTTCGACATCCACAGCATAAATTATTGCTTAAACACTCAAAAGGATCAGTTCATTATCGCGTCATACTGATAGACGTGATTTTCATACTTCGTAATAGGTATCGTCATTCTTACAGTCACGTCTCGTTACATACCAATACAGAGCCGCTGCCACTGCCATAAGATGGAAAGTGACACTGAGTACGTGCAGCGCATTTCAAACCACACTTTGAAATATTTTACGTATTTGATTTTCCCATCGAAATAAATCCCATAACTGTTATCGCTTTCGGTTTTCTGCGAATATGATCTATAAATGACAAACGTTTCATTGTGTAATCGTGTCGTATTACAATGTAACCAAGCCATCTGTGGCTGACATCACCGACTGGTAAATTAAGATTTTGCATAACGAAACAATCTCTTCGATGCAGGGATGAAAATGCGGTTGGATACAAATATTCCTAGAAATACCGGTGTACAGTACCGGTCGTAATAACAAATAAAAAAAACTGTTTTCATTGCTTAAAAATGCCATTTGTACATGGCACTTCAAGATTATTCGCTTTTTGTCTGCTCTCAATTTACTGTTCTTCGAAGTACTTCCACATTTTAATTGAGAGCTTTCTATACCTGTACCATCCTATCTATACCCGAGGAAGTCAAGAAATTTAATAAACCGGACGGAAATAGAACAGCCGCTTTCAGCGTGGACTTGCTTCGTTGCGGCACCTTTGCCAACTGAGCTAAGGGAGTATCGTTTGTGACACTTGAAAAAAAAAAAAAACTCAATGTTTATGCAGTGCAGTGCCTGAGTTGAGGTGACAATTCTCATCTCACTGTTACATGACTTCTCTCACTCGATTCCAGATTTATCTGGATTTTCCAGATTTTCAGATGCACAGACATATCACGTATATTTCCAGATTTTCCCAGATTTTTAAAGTATGTTGCTTTAAAAATATCACTGCAATTGATAAACCCTCTAATCAAAAACATAAAAAGCCAAACATACTACAGTCAGGAATCCTTATTGCCGGATTCCTTATTGCCGGATCCTTATTGCCGGGCTATCCGCGAATAAGGATACCCACAGCTTATGGGATTTTCACTAATGGGGGCTGTAGTGGATTATCTCATTTGTTTCAATACATAAAGCTATACTGTCTTCGACAAAGTTGCTGTACTGGGTTAGACCAACAAGCCTGTGCCATTGGATTCAGGTTAAATTGGGAACTACGCCGCTAGAGGCGCTTCACTTTTATGTTACTTATGACGGGCGCTATAATATATGGATCATATTTCCAACATAGAATATTTCGTGATCCTGACCATATAGAAAGTTACTGTCTTGAGCAAAGTTGTATAGGTGACCAAGTCCTTTCGGATGGTGGCCATATTAGTTCAGAACTCTCTCACTACGAAGCGCTAGTGTGCATGTGCAATTCCTATATAAACTGTATCTCGAGAGCCTGGCCATATAGAAAGTTGCTGTTTTCAGCAAAGTTGTTCAGGTGACTAAGTCCTTTCGAATGATCGTCATATTATTTCAGAACTCTCACACTATGCGGCGCTAGTGTACACATGAACTTCCTTAATATATAATGTCTCCAAACTTGTCCATATAAGATGTTGCTGTGCAATGTTAGAACAGGAACCGGAAAAGGGATGACGTGTAGAGGCCGGAAATCGATGTCAGATGCCATTTTGGAATCCAAGATGGCGGCCATCGGTTCAAGAAAAACTGTCAAATACCTTACAATATAGATATTTTTGGAAAGGGGACGATGTGTAGAGGCCGGAAATCGATGCCAGACGTCATTTTGGAATCCAAGATGGCGGCCATCGGGTCAAGAAAAACTGTCAAATACCCTATAATACGGGTATTTCCAGAGAGGGAACGACGTGTAGAGGCCAGAAATCGATGTCAGACGCCATTTTGGAATCCAAGATGGCGACCATCGTGTCAAGACAAACTGTCAAATACCCTACCATATGGATATTTCTGGATAGGGAACGACGTGTAGAGGCCAAAAATCGATGTCAGACGCCATTTTGGGATCCAAGATGGTGGCCATCGGGTCAAGAAAAACTGTCAAATACTCTACAATATGAGTATTTCCGGAAAGGAAACGACGTGTAGAGGCCGGAAATCGATGTCAGATGCCATTTTGAAATCCAAGATGGTGGCCATCAGTTTAAGAAAAACTGTCAAATACACTACAATGTGGGAATTTCCGAAAATGGACGACGTGTTCGTTCCCTCTCTGGAAATACCCGTATTATAGGGTATTTGACAGTTTTTCTTGACCCGATGGCCGCCATATTGGATTCCAAAATGACGTCTGGCAACGATGTCCGCCCTCTACACGTCATCACCATTCCAAAAATATCCATATTGTACGGTATTTTTCTCAAGACAGTAACTTTCTATATGGCCAGGTTCTCGAGATACAGCTTGCACACTAGCGCCGCGTAGTGAGCGTGTTCTGAAGTAGTATGAACATCATCCGAAAGGACTTGCTCACCTGCACAACTTTGCTGAAAACAGCAACTTTCTGTAAGGCCAGGCTCTTGAGATACAGTTTATATAAGAATTGCACATGCACACTAGCGCCGCATAGTGTGAGAGTTCTAAAATAATATGACGATCATTCGAAAGGACTTAGTCACCTGCACAACTTTGCTGAAAACAGCAACTTTCTATATGGCCAGGCTCTCGAGATACAGTTTATATAGGAATTGCACATGCACACTAGCGCTTCGTAGTGAGAGAGTTCTGAACTAATATGGCCACCATCCGAAAGGACTTGGTCACCTAAACAACTTTTCTCAAGACAGTAACTTTCTATATGGTCAGGAAAAATTCTATGTTGGAAATATGATCCATATATTATAGCGCCCGTCATAAGTAACATAAAAGTGAAGCGCCTCTAGCGGCGTAGTTCCCAATTTAACCTGAATCCAATGGCACAGGCTTGTTGTTCTAACCCAGTACAGCAACTTTGTCGAAGACAGTATAGCTTTATGTATTGAAACAAATGAGATAATCCACTACAGCCCCCATTAGTGAAAATCCCATAAGCTGTGGGTATCCTTATTCGCGGTTCCTTATTCACGCCCCCGTTACCCCGGCAATAAGGATTCCTGACTTTACTTTAATTATAAAAGGCCATCAACGTTGGACATTATTGCAACATTGTACATGGAATTCTTGCAGAATCATGAAAATTGAGACATTTTCTAAAGATTATTGTCTGAAAAAAATCTTCAAACTTTTAAAAATATCGGGCCTGGATTTTTTTTATCTAGAGTTTTTGCTTAGATTGTGGCTACAATTTGTTTTTTTTTTTAATCTGGATTTATAAAAATCTAAATTTCAATATGAAGAAATTTTCATATTCTACAAAACTGTTCATTATTGCAAACAGTAAATTGAGATTTAGAAAATTAGCAACTCTTAGTATGCAGACAACCACCAGAGTATGTTCGTAAGATATTTGAGGATAAATCATAAGACTTTTAGAGAATTTTGAAGGCATCTGATAATTTTTAGCATTTTTTTAAAGTACCTGTGAATATTGAGTTACCTTAGCAGTTTGAATTACTGTAGAATTCTGAATTGTAGAATTTTGTAATTCTGAATTAAGGCTGGTAAGTTACTGTAGTAACTGGAGCACCTAAAGGGTGTCCACGATGAAATTGCCACACACAAAATTGATTCGCAAAATTCGAGTTTTCATCCGATTGCCATCAAATTTTCAGGGATTGAGAAATAACTATTAAACTTCATTTTACCATTTTACTCGTATTTTATTTACAGTCCATACGCAAATGCCCGCACCTTGGCCTTAACCCCGGCCATAAGATTCTGGACAACCTGTGAATCAACCGTTTTTTGCATGTAAACCCATACTTTCTTCAGTTCCTCGACTGTCTTCACTACCTTAGGTCGTTTAAGAAGGTGCTGCTTCATAATCGCCCAGTACTTCTCGATGGGGCGGAGCTCCGGAGTGTTGGGAGGGTTGAACATTTTCGGCACGAAATTGACCTTATTGTCCGCATACCACTTCAGCACGTCCTTGGAGTAGTGGCATGAGGCCAAATCCGGCCAGAAGATTGTTGGGACGTTGTGAGCCTTCAGGAGAGGAAGCAGCCGCTTATGGAGGCACTCTTTTATGTACACTTGTCCGTTCATCGTGTCCTGGGTCACGAAAGGTGCACTCCGCTTCCCGCACGTGCAGATGGCTTGCCAAACCAGGAATTTCTTCGCAAATTTGGACATCTTCTGAGTGCGGACATGCTCCGGAACGCTGAACTTATCCTTGGCCGTGAAAAACAGGTTGCCGGGGATCTGTTTGAAGTCGGCCTTCACATATGTTTCGTCGTCCATGATGCAGCATTCAACTTTCATCAGCATGCATGTTGAGGTACAACTTCCTGGCACGGGTTTTGGCGGACTTGTTCTGCTTCTCGTCGCGATTAGGGGCCTTTTGTACCTTGAACGTTCGAAGCCCAGCCTTAGTTTTGACCTTCTGGACAAAACTTCGGCTTAGGTGCACCTTCTTAGCCACATCCCTAACGGAGGCGTTCGGATTTCGGTTGAAGACCCCAACTACGCGGTTGTGATTTTTGGTGTTGTACGGAATACTTTTTCCTTCACTTCTGGGCTTCCGATCGGTGGTCAACCGTTCCTCGAACCGCTTAATCACTCGCGACACCGTGGAATTCGCGATTCCCAACGTTTTAGCGATGGAACGATGCGAGAGATCCTTGTTCTCGTGATGAATGCGCAAGATTTTATCACGCACAAGCTTTTCTTTCGACTCCATTTCCGCGAGTTTTGATCACAGGACTTTAAAACTTGCAGGATGTAAATAATGCACTATGAACTAAATCCACCCAAATTTTCATTAAATTCTACCCAACGGTTAAAAAGTTAGAGCAATTTCATAGTGTGGCAATTTTATCGTGGACACCCTTTACTCCAGAATTCCTTTGAGATTCAACTTAGAATTGCCTTGGAGTTGAGTTTCTAGGATATTTACATCAAATTCATTCAATACAGTCCATGAGCTGTACAAGTTTTGCAAGGCCCTTATTTTTTTAAATCTGGGTTCTTGTAAAATATACATTGTCCGACGTCTTGAATATTTATTTTCATAATAGATTCTTGAATATTTTTCCAATTTTGATTTATCGAAGTAGTCCGTTGGATAAATGGGTTGCAGAATCTGAAGTAGAGCTATCACATTCTAAATCCCGGACTAAAGCTGCTTTCAATTGTCACTTCAAAGATTATTGCAATTAGATTTCTTCCATAATACCAGGGTTGCTTCCACTCACTTGCTATAAAAAAATGTTTTTCGGAATTACAAAATCGTTAGATGTTATAATGATATTTTGTACTTGTAAGTTAAAAGAAGAGGTTGCAAAGTATGTATTTGACACAAGAAACCTGTCAATTTCGCTTTCAGAGTGTCACAATCAGCGATTTTATGATTCGTGAGCTTTCACTCAGAGTGAGCGCTCGCGAGTCGTAAAATCGCTTATTGTGACTATCTGAAAGCGAACTTGACAGGTTTTATGTGTCAAACACTTGCCATAAGTACAAACTATCATTATAACATCTATTGATTTCAAAATACCGAAAATCATTTTTTTATAGCAAGTGAGTGGAAGCAAGCCTGCATAATACCGCTGCCAGTCAGTGGGGATTAGATTGCACGCACACACACAAGGCTGATTGTATTAGGTTTCCAAAAAAAAATAGAGTCTAAAATCCATGTTTCCAATCCAATTCAAGTTTCAGAACTTATGTTGTTTCTGATGATTAATTCACTCCAAAATTATTATGTTCAATGAGTAACAGTGAATGATAAGGAAGATAAAGTCGGTTGTATTATAAAACGTTTAGATTTTCATGATAAAGTACCTCGGCGTATTTCAATATATTATATTCTAATTTTGAAGAATTGAACTAGAATTTCAAAATTCCCTGAAGATTCCCGGTTTTCCAGGATTTTTTAGGTAGTTATATGATATGTATTCGCTGAAGAAGACTCTGTTTTTTTTTCTTGATTTGTTTTCCGTGCTGAGCACCAATGCTACTGACGCCAGGGAGGCAGCTCCACACCTGGACCCTACATATCGACCCATTAACTCATGAACCGGGGATCAACGGCTTTACATCCCTTCCGAAGGAAGACGGCATCAGCGATTTTATGCCTCAGAAAATCCCGGCGGCGCCGACTGGGATTGAACCCAGGCCTGCTGGGGTGAGAGGTAATCACGCTTACCACTACACCATCGGCGCCGCTGACTCTGGTGTTAAAATAATAAAAAAAAAGTTATGGTTTACGACAAAACTGCATATTTTGTTGCAAAATAGTTAAAAATACCCCTACATGTAGGCAAGTAACACCAGTTTTTAACATAAAAGAAATTTTTATTATACGAAATCGTTCATATCAGCGAAATATGATATCAAATTCATATTCAGCGACCCAAAATTAAGTACAAATAAGTAATTCCACTGAACACAGCTGATTCTGAACAGTTAAAAGTTGTATATGTTATCACTTTCACAAAATTGTATATTTCGAGTGAAAGAATGCATCGTTTGTTAGAGAAAACGTTGCAAAACTACTGTATAATACTACTTAATGAAATACTAAACAACGAAAGCAACGAGAGCAACGAAAATTTAAATACACCCCTCAAAAACATTGCAAACTTAATCGGGATGTGTTAATGTATTTTCCAACATGAATTGAAACATACATTAATAAAACAAGTTTACGGTTGTGGAACCGAAAGCTCGAAATGCAGAAGGTTGACAGCATTTTCCCTTCTTGGAAAGCATTTCGTTCTTGTTTTTCAGATGATCTTGTTTCCAAGAAAAACGTTGGTTTAACTGTGAGGGACCATCCATAAATGAAATGGACGTTCCTTTAATTTGAATGAAATAAAAAAAAAATAACTATCAATTCAATATACCTACCCTTTTTAAAAAGGCAATAATTTTTCGATGTGTAATCGAACCCACAGCCTGCGGCACGATACGCCGCGCCTTTACTGCCGATGCTATCGGATTCCATTCTTACATAAGCAACGAACAGATCCTCTGCTCCTGACCAGTCGATTTTCAACGGCGATCCCACCAAGCAGTAAGTACATAGTAGCGAACAGTGAGCAGCTCTACATGGGCAAAATAAACGAGAGTCCTGTTGCGTGCCACAGCCAGTTACAAACGGAAACAAACAGCCACAGACTGCATGACTGGGACGACCTTACCCTGCGTGTATAAAAGCAATCGTCGACCCGGGTTTATCAATCAATCGGGATCGAACGCTCAACAAGGAAGGCACTACCCAACAAACAAACCAAGACACAGTCGCTCTCATAGCGGTGGCAGAGTGATCCAGTTGAAGGTTAACAATTACATTATCAAGCTCTCGGGGCTCTACCTAGTGTCTAGTTATAGCAAAAGTGATAAGAAGACGGCATATTTTCAAAAAAAAAAAAGTGAATCAGGTGACCCACACTTGGTGGAGGTGAAAGTGTCATCGGAGTTAAAAATTAACGCCGGCTTTATTCACGGTCTACTTGGAAAGGACCAAGCAACATTGTACACTGGAGTCGCTTTTTACGCGGGTGATACGTCCCGCGTAAAAAAAAACCGCGTAAAAAAAAACCGCGTAAAAAAAAACCGCGTAAATTCCGGAATCCGCGTAAAAAAAAACCGCGTAAATTCCGAAATCCGCGTAAAAAAAAAACCGAGTAAAAAAAGACCGTGTAAGAAAAAATCGCGTAAAAAGCGATATACCGCGTAAATTCTGAAATCCGCGTAAAAAAAAAACCAAAATCCGCGTAAAAAAAAACCGCGTAAATTCCGAAATCCGCGTAAAAAAAAACCGCGTAAAAAAAAACCGTGTAAAAAAAAACCGCGTAAAAAGCGACTCCAGTGTACATAGCAAGTTGCCTCTCTTCTATCGCGTGTTCCATCCTTTTCTTTGTTTTCATTCAATCAACAGAAAGGACTTTCTGTTGTTCAGACTGGTTCAAAACTGAGGGAATGTTTTGAAAATGTGTCGAAAGTGTTTATCAGTTTACGATTAGAAAATTCAAACATCTGTAAGCCCAGAAAATGTTTTGAACCAGTCTAAAGTGAGTGTGTCGTTGGGCAAGACATTACATATTTATTCTAAAAAAAACGCGTTAGTGGTCTCTGGCACGGATTCTTCGTTCTTGCCTAGGCAAAAAACTTACAAACTCGCCACCCACCCCTGTCACTTGCGTGACGACGGTTGTTGGTGGGAAACTTGAAACCTCTTCATTCTCACAGTGTACAACATGCTTGAACTACATAAAATCCTCACGTTGTAACTAGGAACACAAAGGGGATAAAGAGTGTACAAACAAAGTTCTGGTGCTTGACGCGAATAATCCATTTTTCAGGCCGGTTGAAGGGAACACTATCCGTGACTCCAGCCAAGCAGGTTAGTCGCTCGGTCACAGTGTAAACAGCAGCAGCAGCAGCAGCAACTTCTTGGTGCGGTAATCGATTCTTTTCGTCGGTGCTGAGTGGTATCATTTTCGCGGCAAAATAATGCAGCTTGTGGGACTGCTGGTAGCGTTGATACTGGCCCTCTGCTCCCTCGGAACGGTCCGGTGTTGGCCAGTCTCCAATCCCGAGGTGGTCGACAGCCTGATCTTCTCCAATCCGGAAGTGGTAAGATATAGACTAAATATAAATCCATAGCAAAACGATATAGTGATTTTTAGAATTTCGTAAAAATTGGTAGTTTTGTTCCTACTGCAAACAGAGAGTAGCAATTTCAAATTTGTATGTTTTGTGGAAGCTGACATTTGTGCCTTTGAAGTTTCACGCTAAGGCTTCCTTAGAGTATCACCTTAACGCAAAATATTAGCGTATTTTTTTAAGGCTGACCATTTCCATGTTAGGGTGGTCCAATTATCATTTTTTTTATTAAAAATTAAATTTTTCAAAAATTTATTACTTTTGAACCACTGGACCGATTGTAAAGATCAAAATATCAAATGAAAGCTAATTAACAATAATGATATTAAAAAATTAAGGTTTCGAATTCAAAAGCATATTTTTTATTGTTTGTTTATTTGTAGAGGTCGCAATATGTTTTTATAATTTTTCTTAAAAATCCATTGATTTATAGCGACTGTAACATTAGACTGATGCAAAATTTGAAATTTTCGCTCCACAGTGCTTAAACGGTTTCAAATTGGGTCCTGCTTAGCCTCCCAAAATTTGAATTACTTTAGTAAGAAACTGACTTGGCACCAACCATTTCAAGTTTATATGGGAATTACTATGGGAAAACTTATGTTTTTGTTCATATCTATCTGACAATTCACCACATCGCTATACTTTTAAAAATGATAGCTGTAATTGTAGAAAATTTTCTCAGCTACAACTTTGTTGAAAACTTCTTTTCAATCAAATGTAAGGAACAAAAGTTATTAATCATTCAAGTCACTGATGTCTTATAATTATGCTCATTCAACTGTTCAGCAGGCAACATTGGTGTTTCTGGTGCAAAGAATAGAGCACACATATCAAGTCTACTATGTCACACTGCAAAATACAGTGTTGCCCACAGAACAGCTGCTTGATCATGTCATAAGATTATCAATCTCTTAAACAATTAATAACTATTTAACTTGACGTTTGACTGAAAAACTATTTTCAGCAAAGTTGTAGCTTAGAAAATTTCTCGTAAGAATAATTATAGAAATTTTCGAAAAAAGCACTATGAAAAATTGGTAGAAGACAATGAACAAAAAGTTTGGTTTTCCCATAGTAATGTTCATATAAACTTCGAATAGTTTGTGCCAAACTGCCAAAGTTTCTTACCAAATGAGTTAAAATTTTGGGAGGCTAATCAGGACCTGATTTGAAACCGTTTGAGCACTGTGGAGCGAAAATTTCAAATTTAGCATCAGTGTACTGTAACATGGTCACGACGCATGGTAGTCTAGTTGCATAGGAGTATTGTGCAAAAACCCAAAACATGAAAACTTTTAAAAAATATCGCTCAAAAACGAAAAAAAAAACATCACAGATTTTTTGATACGTTGAGTTAAATAGCTTAAATTTTCAAGGAAAAATATATAAACACATTGCACCCTCTGTCTACAAACCATGAAAACCATAAAAAAAAAACAAATGCAATCAATGGTTTTCAATACAAAATCCAATTTTTTTAATATCATTATATTTTTCCTAAAAATAGGGGAAATGCAGGTAATGTCGGCCTAAGTGTCCCTAATTTGGGCCCATACATAATTTCAGCAATCGACTAAATTTTCAATAGCAACCAAAAATATCCATTAGTAACGTTCCAATAACGCGTTCATCTAGATAAAATTAATAAATAGCAGATTTTTAGCGATGGGCTCAATTTTAGATCCATAGGTCTACATTAGAGACATTTCCCCTACCTTTCATTTTATGAAGTAATGAAATTGAGTTGTTAGCGCAATACTTAAATAAAACACCAAAAAAGATTATCTTCCATTCTCAATTCTTAATCAATTTTGGTATCTATGACAGATACGTATTACGTCGAAATACGTATCTGTTATAGATACCAAAATTAATTAAGTGGAATTAAATGGAAGACCTTTTTTGCTGTTTTATTTCTTTTGATAATTTGATGTTTGAAATCGGCCCAGTGGTTCAAAAGATATGAATTTTTGAAAAAAAAATAGCCCTAACATGGAAATGGTCACCCTAATGATAAAATTAAAAAAAATACGGGTCTAATATTTCGCGATAAGGAACAAAACTACCAATCGTTTTCGAAATTCTGAGAACCACTATATTGTTTTGCTATGGAATGGGTGTATATAGATAGCCGTGAGAGTTTCAGAAAATAGAATTAGGTGCGGACGGATCAAGGCATGGCACGACTCACGAGATACAACAACACACTATTCTAGTTTGGTTTTAGTTGTTATGCAAATGAAAGTCGGAACTCTGGTTACTATTTACGTTCAAGAGCGGTTGTTATTTCGGTGGCTATTTTTCGTGCAGGCGATATGATCATAATCTTGGAATATTTAGCGGTTGGCTTTACACTGAAAATAGTTTTCATGTAGTTGCCATTGGAAATGCACATGATTTTCATCCATAATCAAATTCAATGGAATTCATCTGAATTTCACATCAAATTTATGCGATCACATTAACTTTATGTGATTTTTCACATGAATTCCATCGGCCTCATAATATTCATGTGATTTTGTGATGCGATTTGCTGCTATGTGATCATAGGAAAGCTATGTGAAATTCACATGGATTTCATCCATTAGATATGTGATAAATTTTTTGAGTGTAGTCCCGTTCATCAAACTCATGTTTACGTCAGCCTGATGATTTATTGTAGCAAAATGACTTTTCTCAATTCTAGGACAATGAATAAACAACATTGAAGAATGAAGTGTAAAGAATAGACAACGAGGTATTAGGAAGATATTATTGATAAGGGTGATGATTGCAATTTTGACTTGGTAATTTTTTGCAGCAATCACGTAAACGAGTTTTGGAATTTTAGGTTGTAGGGGAAATACAGGTAATGTTGGCCTAAGTGTCCTTAATTTGGGCCCATACATAAATTCAGCAATTTACTAAATTTTCAATAGCGACCAAAAATATCGATCATCGAAATTAGCGATTGGCCCAATCTTAGATACATAGGTCAACATTAGAGCCATTTCTATATCTTAGAACACCTCAGCATTATGACCTTAGAACACAGCATTATGATCTTAATATCGAAATATGATATGCATTAGCATGATATAAGAGGTAAAATATAAAGAAATCACATCTGAAATTTGTCAGTTTTCACTCGGCTGTCGACAGAAGCAGGCCACTCTCGATGTGTGCCACGCGATCGTCGGTTTTCTCGGCAGCGACCATTGTGTGGTCCTCTTAATTGTTCTTCATCAGCAGTTCTTTCGGTCGATGCGTCGTCGACTTTGGAAAGCAACCGTATAGTGATGAGTGTGTGAGTGCTGACCACGTTTTGCGTCCATTGCTGCAATGGAAGCGCTCTGACCCTCGTTGGCGTAACTGCCATACAATGAAACCACTGGAAGCGGCTCCAGTTCTGATGGAGGAGGAGGCTTTTTGAATAGCGGAAGATAAAGTGTTTATTGTGTTGTACCTTTTGACTATAGTTTTAAGATGTATTGTATAGTGACCAAGAATCCTCGGCTCTGTAAAGTTAATTCGGTTGAGCCTTATCAAATAAATTAATAAACAACGATCTGAAATTTGTGCCTGGCAAATCGTTCCAACAGCAAATTAAGCAATTACGGTATCAAATTAATAACAAAGTACTAAAGTTTAGATATTTGTTTGATATTCAAATATCAGCATATGTTTTAAAATGTTATTCGGCAAGCTATGTTTTGATATTATTTCTCGATATTTTACCTGTTTTAATTCATATCAACTTTACACAGTTCGAAAAAGTAATGTACATTTCTGTTCAATATGATGCACATAAATGGAGGGTCACATATCATATACGTTTACATTATAGAGGGTGCGTGACGAATTTTTGCAGTAAATGGCATATTTGAGAAAAAATACACCAGTTACTAATTCTAGCAATGAATTTTGTGCGATTTATTTTCTTTCGCAACATATGGAAATTGAAAGTAAATTTATTCAAAAAAATTGCCTTCCCTTTCGACGACTGTAGTTAGACGCTTCCGGAAACTGCAGTATGCACGTTTTAAAATGTTTCGATCCATAGATGTCATCACTGCCTTGATTTTTGCTTTTAGCGACTTAAGTGTGGTGTGAGGGGTTCTATTGGTATCCCGTTGGACGACACCCTATACAAAATAATCCAACGGATTGATATCGGGACTGCTTGGGGACCAAATTTCTTCCTCCCAAATTTACGAAATATTTTCCGTACGCCATTTCTGTGCTTTATTAGCAGTATGAGCAGGTGCTCCGTCTTATCACTTTCCCAAGCCTTTTTTAATATTATACACTGTTCTTTCAGACACATTTACCGACCGAATTATTTCTTTCATGCATACTCCGGCGCGCAACAAAGCGACAATGGCTGACAGATTGCTCTCTTGTTTCGACATCTTTACGTTTACTCAACATTGTTTGTTTAAATCTTACACCTAACAGTATAAGCTATCCAGTGCTGCCAAATATATCTAAATCATGATGCACAAGCATGAGAAATTACTATTTGAAATTTACTGCAAAAATTCGTCACGCACCCTGTATATCATGTAAAGTTCTGACACATTTCATGCAATGTAGCAAATATTGTATACAAAAGCTCATCTTTGTAAACAACATTGTATGCAAGTTGCTCGGTTGCGTGAAATGCAATACAAGTCCACGTGAATGAATGTTTACATCACAATTAAAATTCAGAATTTTTATCTGTGTAGATATCAATAGTAAAAATTCTACCCGACAAGATCTCTGAACTTATCGTCGGAAGTTCTCTAAACTTTTCGACGGAAGTTCGCTGAACTTCTGGTTGGATCTTCAAAGAAGTTTAATGAAGTTTTGCGAACGTCAGGGCAATTGAATGAAGTTCAGTGAATTTTTCGCCAAAAGTTCTGGGAACTTTTCGTCTGAAGTTCTGGGAACTTTTCGTTGGAAGTTCAATAAACATCTCGTCAGGCATTCCTTGAACTTGTCGT